TGGTACTTGCAGTTTTAGTCTTTGGAGATGCTGCTGAAGAATTTCTCTCCATGGAGGTAGTAGTTTGCATATTGACCAGGGATATCTGAGAAGAGTGGTGTTACCAAATTATTTGATCTTTGTTTATCCATTGGTAATTTCTTTTGTTATGAATTTATTTTGACATCTCTTCAAAGTGAGGTACTTAAGAATTTAGGATTTGTTTATGTCTATAATCCTAGCACTTGGGAGACTGAGGCAGGAAGATAACCAGTGAGTTGAAGGGAAGCCAGCGAGGCAATCAAGCAAGCAAAAGCTTTGGTTTGGATATTGCCTGTTCAGAACTCTTTTGTTCTCTGTTAGTTGGGAAGTGATGGAACACTTGGGAAAGACTAAAACACTGTAGTTGCAGGGTAGACCAGCTGAGCATTGGAATTCCAAATTGCTGACCTACTGAACTGGCCAGCTTGGTGACTTAGGATGCTTAGAGTTCTAGGAGGAGTGGCCCTGCTGCCTTGAAGCTTTGTAATTGACCAAGAAGGAAGCTGCCAAGAGAGGGCTGGAAGCACAGTTGGTGGTCACAAAAAGCTCAAAACACATTACTCTGGCATAATTTATGACATGCAGATTTATTTTGAATAATAATCAGGCACAAAATAAAATCTATTTGCATATTCAACCATGATTAGCAGTAGCAGCAACTTTTAGAAGCTTTCCTTCTCTGTTGTGTTCTCTAGCATGTCAAACCACTGCCAGTTAGGAATTGTGTCTCATACCTTCTATTGTTCAGTAATATCATCACTAACCTGCCTTCTGCCCAGCCATGTTCCATTGCCTTCCTCCCCTTCTTCCCATTTAAAAACAAGAGCAGCTTGATGTAGTTTGGGTATCTTTGCTTTTGTTTTCTTCTTCAGCCCTGGGCATTCTGGGTAAAGTTTGTATCTAACAAATCCATCAAAAGTCCATGTGTCAGAAGCTGGAGCCCAGCCTGGTGGTATTGCCAGGTGGTAGAAACCTTAAGTATTGGGTGGTGGATTCTTTGGGTCATTGGAGGAAAGTCCCAAAGGGATCTGGGAATTCTCTTTTTATGAGGGGAACACATTTACTCTGTGGGCCTGCCATAACGCACCACCCCACTCACTATGCTTACAAGTCTGGTGCTCCAGCAGTGGGCTACAACCTCCAGAGCTAACACAAAATGAGCATTTTTCCTGATGAGTTGGTGTCTGTGCTGTTTGTTAGATGGGTGGCTGGTTTACCTCTCAGCTGGCTGGGGTCAGTGTGATCAGCCCTTTGCTGTTTCTGTCTTTGCCTTGTGTGTTAGACTCTGTGAGGCATATTTAGCACATATGTGTCTCTCCCTAATCCTCACAGATGAACACTCCAGCATTCTGGAACACATTATTGACACTTAGGTGATGGTGTAGGTAGAGATATGGCCATCATGCTGAGGAGAGGAAAGGGGTGTAAGCCAGAAGGAGAGTAAACACTTGAGTGGAATCTGAGTCTGTTCTGGAGCCCAATGGACACAGCCAATGGAAACAGATCTCTCTTGCCTTCAGCAAGCCCGGCTGGATCCAAAAGTCAGAACTTCTCGTAGTTGCTTTTAAATACAGTTCAGTCCTGCTTAAGTCTTTTTGTCTTAATTTGAGAGGAGGGACTACAGCCTACTGGGGACTGGTGATACCATCTACACAGATGCCCTGGAGCACTTAGAAGACAGGAGTGAGCTGTAAGGCAACTGAGGAGACTGAGTGCAGATTTCACAAATGTTGGTGGGGCTTGGGTTGTCTTTATCCAGACCCGAGCTCCTGGATTACCATCACCTCGTGTGGGAAAGGTGCAAAGGGCCTTCAGGATCAGAGTTTGTAGCAAGGAGAAAGCTACCATCAGTGCTTTGTGATTTAGGGTTTGTGTCTGTCCCATTTACATTCTAAATACTAGAACTGCCAGGGTGTGACATTCCCTGGGGCAACTGAGTTAAGCTGATAGGAACATTCGAGTTCTGTTCTGCACACTAGTTTCTGTTACAGTGCCCTTTGAGCGAGGCTGTTTTTGTACCTTGGGACTATTCAAGCTCATCAGTTACTCATATCTTAGTGTGAGTCATCTAAGCAGATATTTGTTTTTTTTTTCTCCCTAATGCTTCCTTGAGATCAGATATTTTAGAAAAAAGAATGCTGGTAGGAGAGAAACTTTTACAGTTTCCATCTGTTTTTTTGTCTGTTCATGCGGCTATTTATATCTCTTTTGTTTGTTCAGGTTATAAGCAATGAAGGTTTATTTTGGATACTTCTAAAGGTAGGAAAGTCCGAGATACAGGCAGTATCATGTTTGGTGTCAGATGTAGTTCTTAGATGGCCATCTTCTTGTCCTGGAGGAAGGCAGGAAGGGACTTTTCGGGGGATCTCTGTTGTCTTTGTAACAAGGGGGATTGAACTCAGGGTCTTACACATGCAAGGCCAGGTGCCCTATGTCTGAACTGTATCCTTTGCCCTCTTTGTATTTTAAAATGCAGAGACAGTCTCATTATATTGCCTAGTCTGGCCTTGAGCTTGATTTGCATCCCAAATAGGCATTTAACTTGAGGTCTTCCTGTCTTTGTTTTCTCTGTGGATAGCTGTAGGTCACATGATTTGTACTTCTCTTTCAGAAGGGTGCTACTCCTGTCCTCAGGACCTAGTCACTACAAGAGGCCCATCACCCAAGACCCTCACTCAAGGGTTAGGATTTTTCAGGGACACAAGCACATCTGTTGTGTAGACTCTGTTGTGCCAGGCACTGCAGTTGCTTTGGTGACATTTGGGTGCCAAGCACAGGGTGATGAGGGGAAGCATTTGTAACACCCACCTATGTATGTTCATTACTGTATCATGTGATTCAGTGATGGAAGTAATTGAAGAACAGAAATGGCAGTGCTGAGGATTGAACTCAGGGCCTTGTACATGAAAAATCTGTGTTCCTAGCACCTCAACTAAATCTAAGGGGGGAAAAAAGACAAAAAACCCATATCTTATCCTATTCAATTATAAATAATGCCTACTTAACCAGCAAGAAATGGAACTTACTAATGGGAACCTAGTTCTTATATCATACAGAAACTCAGAGTTGGATCGAGGCCGACTGTGGTGTAGGTTCCCAGTGAATCTTATCTTTACCCCTTTCCTTTGGTCTCCCTCTTCCTGAGAATTATTTAAAATCTGCTCCTTGGTTTTGAAATGGTTGAAAATGTATTTGCCTTTCATCTTTGTTACTGATTTCTAGCTTGATTGCATTGTGATCAGAGAATACACTCAGTCTGATTTTAGTTGCTTTATGTTTAGGGAGGCTTTGCTCTATTGACTGGGACATCTTGGGATGTGGTCCATGGGCATTTTGAAAGATATAAAGAAAGGTACATCCTGCTATTTGATACACTTTCCATAAATGTTGACCAGAGATTGTTGGTTAATCTGTGGCTATTGTTCTATATTGTTTTATTGTTTGTTTTCTGTTTTATGAACTTTTGAGGGACCAGGGGCAGGGAGAGGGGGGAGGAGAGAGTGAGGGAGAAGAAGTGGAGTGTAGGAGGGGAGGAAGAAAGGGAGGGAGGCTAACGGTTGCATCTCCATTTGTAACTGGTTACCTTCTCAGGTCTGTTTTTGCCTCATGTTTTCCATTGTTGCTGTTTGTTGGACACACATTTAGGTGTACTGTGTAATATACTTCTCCGTTTGGTATTTTCATTGCTTTGAAGTCAGCTTTATATATTTTTAGAGGTCATCCTGTATTCCTTTGGCTACTATGTACATGATTAATTATTTTACATTCTTTTACTTTCAGCCTGCCTCTGTAGTGAGCTTAAGTTGAGGAGGTGGTGTGTGTTATAATCTCATTTTTTCAGGAGGCTGAGGCAGAATCGTAAGTTTGAGGTGTGCCTGAGCTACAGAGTAATTTCAAGGCCAATTTCTATTTTGTTGCAACCTCAAAAGAAGAAAGAAATGAGGCTTGCTTATAGGTCAGTAATAGCCCGATTGCCTAGTGTGCTTGAAACCATAAATTCAATCCCCAGTACCATAAATAGTTTGTTACATTTGTTATAGGCAGCTTGTAGTTGGGTCGTTTTCATGAACTACTCTGTTCTCTCTCACTCAATATATTTGGATTATTTACACTTAATGAATTTGCTGTGTTAGGATTGGTCTGTATTTTTGTTTATCTGCTGGTCAGATTGCAGCTGCAGTCAGGAAGCAGAGGCGAAGGTTGGTGCTCAGCTCATTCATGTCTTTTCATTCAGGCCTGGACCCCAGCCCATGGAATGGTGATGGTTATGTTTAAGGGTGTGTTTTCTACCACAGTAAACCCAATTCTCATAGACACATCCAGAGGCTTCTCTCCCAGGTGATTGTAGATATTGCAGTGCAGCGTCAGAGCATGTAACTTCTTGTAGCCCACTGTCACCATTTTACCAGTGTGGAGAGAGATGGACGCCACCCCTCCCGTGGCAGCGCTCAGCGTTTGCTGTCTTCTGACCGAACTCCTGGCAGAATGACTTAGGGGAGGAAAGATCCATTCATGCTCATGGTTTCAGATTTCTGGTCCTTTGTGGCAGGCAGCTTGGAGGAGTTCCAGGTACCAGGGGCATTCCACAGCAGCTCCTCATGTTGTGGGACCAGGAGACAGTGGCAGGAACCAGAGAAGTCCTACCTCCTAAAGATTTTGCAGAGCCCTCCCCCTCCATTAGCACTCCATGCTTTAAAATGTTTCCTATGCACAAACCACTCTGCTTTAATTGTCAAACACAAGGACAAGAGAAGTGTATTCACCAATGTTTTTGCTTATCACATTGTTTTCCTTATAAGGTACAGTTCCTCTTTTGTTAAAACGAATTTCTTTGACCCTTTCTTTTAAACTATGTCCATCGTTGACAAATTGTTTTCAGCTTCCTTTCATCTGTGAATCTCTTAATTTTTTTCCTTGAGCTCAACATATTTTTGTTGAGTGTAGGTTTTGGGGTTGACAACCTGTTTGTTTTTCTTCAGCATTTGAAAACTATGTGGTGCCTCCTTCTGCCTACCATGGTGACTGAAGAGAGGCCTACTGTCATTTGAATGGTTTTCAGAGCACCGGGTAAGATCCCATTTTTCTTTGAATGTGTTCTTTGTCCTTGGTTTTCAGAAGATTTATTATGCTGTGGTGTGAGGCAGATGTTTTGGGTTCTGTCCTCTTTAGGTTTCACTTAACTTCTTGAACCTGTGTGTGTGTGTGTGTGTGAGTGTGTGTGTGTGCGTGTGCGTGTGTGTGTGTGTGCATGTGTGTGTGTGTGTGTGTGTGTGTGTGTGTGTGTGTGTGTTTATCTATCTCTTGCCAAATCAAAAGCATTGTGATTTTGCCTAGTGCATTTTTACCCACCTTCTCCCTTTCCCTCCCTTCTGGGACCAGGCTGACGTGGGAGGTTTTTGTTTTGGCCCTTTGGATCCTTGGAGATCAGTTCTTTTCTCCCAATTAGAATTGTATGCAGTGCTCTAATACTTCACTGCCATGACTCACCCGTCCAAGTACTACAACACTGAACGATGGGCCAGCTTAATTTTCAGCTATTACTTTTTAGGACTGTCATTTCATTAACTTCTCTTGCTTTCATGATTTTTCACTATTTTATGGAATAAGACATTGCTATTTAGTCTGTTTAACTTGCTGTGTATCCCAGTTGGCCTTAAGCTCCTGATCCTCCGGCCTCAGCTTGCAGAATTTTTGGATCATAGGTACTACAGGTGTGTGCCTCTGTGTCCAGCTCCCCGTTCAGTTCTTTGTAGCTTTGGTTTCTTTGGTGAAACGTTGGTTTTTCATTTGTTTTAGCCATCTCAAAATTGATTGTTGGAGTTTTGTTTGTTTTTTTGAGATTAGGTCTGTCTTAGGGTTTCTAGTGCTATGAAGAGACACCATGAACACGGCAGCTCTTATAAAGGAAAAACATTTAATTGGGTGGTTTAACATTTTCTGAGGTTTAGTCCATTATCATCATGGTGTGATGTGATGGCAGTCACGGTGCTGGAGAAGTAGCTGAGTGTCCTACATCCTGATTTGCAGGCAACAGGAAATGGTCTATCTCACTGGGAGTAGCTTGAGCATTGCAGACCTGAAAGCCCACCCCCACAGTGACACACTTCCTCCAACAAGTCCATATCTATTCCAACAAAGCCATACCTCCTAATAATGCCACTCCCTTTGCTGGCCATTTTCTTTCAAACACTACAAGGTGTCTTTGTGCTGCCGGGCTGGTCATCCAACTCCTGGATCCAGGTGATCCTTTTGCCTCAGACTTCCAGTTAGTGACACCACAGCTGTGTACCACCATGTGTAGCACAGTAAATAAAAGACCCAGAGACTGATATTGGGATTCAAGCTTCAAGCTGAAAATCAGAAAAGCAAAGCAGCCGACCTGACTCTTAACCTCTACCTCAGCTCAGAACAAAGGAGTGTGATCCTCAGATTGCTCCCAACTTCACTGCTCCTCAGATTCACTCAGACTGCTATGTTTTCCTCATCGTGGCTGGAGACTAATCTCAGAGTGATTGCCTCTACCTTTTATACCTCTCAAATCCCAGGATTAAAGGTGTGAGCTCTGATTCACTCACCAGTAGTCTAGGGTGGTCTTGGACTCAGAGATCCATCTCCCTTTCTTCTGAGTCCTGGGATTAAAGGTGTGTACCACCACTGCCTGATCTCTATAGCTTGAGGCTGACTTTGCTTTCTGAATTCTCAAGCAAGTTTTTAATAAATCATAAATAATATATCACTACAGCCATACCCAGCACTAAGACTGCATTAAAGTCTTTAATGGAATTTTAATGTGGTCCTCATGCAGGTTCCACCTATGCATAGGGGTAGGGACAGTGGGGTATGGGGAGATGAGACTCTTGGATCTTTGTGGTCTTCTGAATTGCAATGTTTCCTGTCCTAGCATATAGCATAATTATTGTCTAAAAGTTGGTTGCCCTGCTACATTGCCTTTCCTTGTCTATAGCCAAAGGCTTTAGTTGTGTTGGTAGCCCTTCTGTTGGTGTTTTCAAGTTGGTGTCCTTTCACCTTTGAGGTTGAGATTCAGTGAAGGTAACAGGAAACCTATAAAACTCTTATTAGGTTGTTCTTTGGGTCTCATGGTCCCCACATGGGCTGTTGTCTGTTCCTTTCACTGACCCTTGTGCTTGTTTTAGGCAAATGTCTTTTATTTTAGTTGTACCCAGGAAGAGGAATAGGAAAAATACTTGCAAACCATCATGTCATTCCTTTAAAAAATCCGTGCAGTGACACTTTCTTTCCATGTGGACTGTGTTGGCCAGAGTTCCTCAGTCTGATGTTCACCCTTTGACAGTATACTAGACCTCCCATCTCCTCTACACTCCAGAGTCTCCTGTTTGTCTTCATGACATCGTCAAACTGAGGGTCTAGTTTGTTGAGAATTGGATTTAAACACTGGAATACTAGATTAAGATTGGCATTTGATTGAATGACAATTCTTTTAAAATAAAGTACTAGTACCAATTAATACCTTAATATTTTAGTGTATTAATTCTTAGAATTGGTGAATAATTTTGAATACATTGTGACTAGCTCTGGAGCCTTGGATTAATTCCTATGCCTGGGTTCAAACCCCAGAATTCTGGTTCAGTTGGCTTAAAGGGGCCCTTGGCTTTGACAGTTGTTGAAAACTCCCTCTGTAACTCTTACGTGGAGTCTGGCTACAATATAAGTGAGCACCTGTGGCTTTTGCTGCTCAAAACTAATGTCTTGGAATGCTTCCATTTACAGCCTTAAATTTTGTCTTTTAAAGTTTTTGCCTCAAACATTTTTGCTTTGAAAATTCTCTTCTGCTTTGTGATGGTTAGTATTGTCAGACTGGTGAGATCTAGAGTTACATAGGAGACAGGCTTCTGAGCAAGCCTATAGAGGAATTGCCTTGATTACATAAACGAGATGGGAAGCACTGACCCCTGTGGGTGGCAGCATTCTCTGACTTGGATCCATGACTGTGCAAGTGGAGAAGGGAGCAGGGAGCATTGACCCATGCTGTTTGCAGTTGAGACCTCAGTGTGAGCAGCTGCCTCCAGCTCTGCCTCTGGACTTCCCTGCCATGATGTCAGACCTCGAACTGTGAGCTAAAATAAACTCTGTCTTTGTTAAGTTGCTTTGATCAGAGTATTTTTATCCCAGAAACAGGAAAGGAAACCAAGACACACATCCTGCAAATTGCTTACTTACCTTACAGAAAGCAGTCTATGAAATAGTATTTGTTTTGCAAAGAGAAAACAGCAGTCTGTGAAATTAGATATTGTATTAATTATTTCTCTTGTTCTGGGGAGGCCAGGCTGCTTTTGGTCAGAAGCAGAGAGAAGACTGCTTTTGCCTAGCCCACTTGTCCCATGCCTGCAGTCTGCGGCCTACCCACAGAGAATGCAACTGCCCACATTCGGGTGGGCTGTCCCTCTCCATTTAACCTGATCTGAGCTTTCCCTCACAGACATGCCCAGGATTTGCTTCCATACTGATTCCATACTGATTCTAAAATCCATGAAGTAGCCAGTCAGTAAATGTTTTTAGGCAACTCAAAATGATAAAATCCTACTTTAATTTTTCAAAGATTTAATTCTTTTGAGTTTTTAGAAAGGTACTTACAGGAACAGAACAGACACTATAAAATTCTATATATATTATTCAAATGAAGTCAACTATCTTTTTGTTTGCTTGCTATGTCTTTTGAGACAGGGCTCACTCTATAGACCATGCTATCTTGGAGCTTGCAGTTAGCCCAGGCTAGCCTCTACTTGGACTCTTCCTGCATCACCCTCGTGGTTGCTTGGATCACATGATACATCACCATATACAATTTAAATTCATAGTCCTCTATTTATTCTGAGACTGTTTCTCATGGAGATTAGACTAGTCATTTTTGCTCTTTGTGGCCCAGATTCTTTTGTCCCTGCCCTAAGTGCTAGGATTATAAATATGTGACACTATGTCCAACTCCAAGACAATCTTAATCTACTTAGAGGTTTTTTTTGTTTGTTTGTTTTGTTTGTTTTTACTTAAACAATAACATGTATAGCTACCAAGACTAAGGACTAAGACTCTCTAGTTGCAGACAAGGAATTGACAGTTGACAGTGGTAAGGATTGATAAGTGTCCCCTTCAGGATCTTGTGTTAGAACTGTAGGCAGGTGGCTTTGGTTTCTAGGAGTAAAGGCAGTTCAGCCTAAGGAAAGAAGGAAAAGTCAGAGGAAGATTAGAGAAAGGAGAAAAGAGGCCAGTTAATAGAGAACATGGAGATAAAAATAGGAGGACAGATAAGAATTCAATTAACTTCTGTGACAGTGCCTTTCCTCTGAGGAAGATGTTTGCCGTTCCAGTTCTCTATTTTGGGCGCATGTATTTAGCTCAGGTCTTTGTGTATGACCTCTGTAAGTAAGATGCAGGTAGGATTATAAAATGATACTAACTTGCTGGGTTTCCAGTTTCTTAGAGAAGCCAAGGTTGAGGGCCTGCTACCAAGGAGCTGGTGCTTTGTAGATGATGGGAGATGTTACTAGATTGCTCTCATATTCTTGCTGGCTTCTGTTTTTCTACCCATGGTAGATACTGTGCCTTCTCTTTTACTTTTCTTTCTCTTTTTTGTGACTAGCTTCTTGAGAAATCAGATGTGGGGTTGGTGAATATCTTTTCCCATTCTGTGGGCTGCTATTTTGTCTTGGTGACTGTGTCCTTTGCCTTACAGAAGCTTCTCAGTTTCAGGAAGTCCCATTTATTAATTGTTGATCTCAGTGTCTATGCTACTGGTGTTATGTTCAGGAAGTGTTCTCCTGTATCAATTAGTTCAAGGATACCTCTCACTTTCTCTTCTGAGAGGTTCAGTGTGGCTGTATTAATGTTGAGGTCCTTGATCCATTTGGACTTAAATTTTGTGCATGGGGATAGATATGAATTTTTCTGCAGTATTACATACCAGCATCCAGTTATATCAGCACCATTTGTTGAAGATGATTTCTTTTTTCCATTGTATACATTTAGCTTTTTTTTTTTTTGTCAAAAATCAGGTGTTCGTAGGTTTCTGGGTTAGTATCAGGGTTTTCAAT